AAAACCATCTAGGCGAATAAGATGTAATATAACTAAGTTTTAAAATGTATTCATCATTAATATTTTCAACAAAGTTTAGAATATTTTGTTTATTACATTTTGTGGCAATTCTGTATTTAAATCTTTTTTTAAGAATTTCGTAGAATAGCTTATAATTTACACGTTCCAAGAAACCAGTAAAAATATGTTTACGTAGAATATCAATAAATATATTATAGTTACGTTCACAAGGTAAATTATTTACTTTATCTACATTTAAATTAGTTAAATAGCTTTTATAATTCTATAATAGTGGTCCAATCCGAATTTCACACTTATAACTAACAGTAGGCTTCAAGTCTTTACAAGGATACAGTAAATGTTATTTTTTTATAGATTAATAAATAATATTAGAAAGCTGTACGTCATTAGATATTTTATGTTCAAAATTAATTATGAAATATAAAGTTTATTTGAGCTTGATAAATTATTAGGTTTTAATTGATATTTCACTATATCTAAAATTAGATGTTTTCATGATCATTTCAAAATTAAATTTGTTAATTAGATTAATGCCCTTATTTTAGGAAGATTAAGTTGCTAAATCTTTTTAAAAATATTACTGTTAGAATTCTAGTAAATCAATCCATTTTATCCTATTTTTTCCTTTACCTCCCTCTTATTTTCTTATTTTTATGAGACAAAATACCTAAAAAGAAAAAATTGGAAATACAGTTATCATTACTCAAATTCAAAGCAGAGGAGTTATTGAAATCTTGGTTTAATCCATATTGATATAATGTTTTTAATTTCAAAATGTAGAAGTACTCTCGTTGAAGTCTATTGGTTTCTTCATTAAGAATTTCTAATATAGTTATCTTAACAGAAGTAAAAGAATGAATTCTGAAATGCTTTAATTCTACGGAATTCATTAACACCATTATCACACATAAATATAAAAGCTCTTATAAAGGTAGATACAGTTTAAAAATTAGTAATTAGAGTAGATTCTACAAATAAACTTAATGGGTCGAGGTTGGGAGTTATACTAGTTTAGACAATTTGGTTGGGTTTTAATATTTTTTAACTGGCATAATTTGTCTACTGTACTAATGATTAACTTATCAATTTCAGCTTTTACTACTATAATGAGGTCTGAAATACCAATGTCAAGAAGTGAAATTCCTTAACTTACCCCCAAGTGTAGGACCTTATTTTCATTTCTCTTTCATTTTACATTTCTTTGGAGAGCAGTCACCTTCCTACAACTGTCTGCAGACAGTGATGGGTGATGTAGATGTGGATCGTTGTGAGCTTCAGCACCCACGTTTTTTATTCTCCTTTCTTTAATATGTGACTTTCGAGTCATAGTTCCATATGCTTACCTCTTGTTTTAGGATGTTTTTGTAAGAGCTATTACTAACGGAATTTTAAGGGACGAGGTGAAAACTCCAATATAAAGCTCTGATTGTCCGCACATGGATGGTTGTAATACTGCCATATTCGTATGTTGGACTGTGCAGCCTTTTTGAGTAGAATTCTCATTTACCGGATCTCGTTTAATTGAAATTTCGTGTGTAAGTCATGGAAGAACAAATATCTAATTATACCAATTTTTGAATTGCAAATAATCCCCGCATTCCAAGCCATAACCCCAGGGATATAGTTTGCGATTCGACAAATGATCGCTTGACTTAATAATCTGATAAATGGCCAAATTATTCGTTTATCGGACAACATCTAGAATATCTGTGAGCATAAAGTGGTTTTTGTAGCATTTTGGTATACGGGAACGCTACTTTTGAATCACCCTGCATATTAAAAATAATTAGTAGTGGAAACTCTTATTGATTTAGATAAAACTTTCAGATTTAACAAATATTTATTTCAATAGTAAACTTGAATAATCATCTGTATTAATATTTTCGTTTTTAATTTGCCATTAAAAATAGCAAATTATGTACTTCTCACAACTCCTTATCTTCTTTCCCCATGCATCAAAACCTCTAACACAACTATGTAGACTACAAGTCTTGTCTCTTTTCTCCATGCATTCTAAACCTCTATCACAACTAGGTAGACTACAAGTCTTGTCTCCTTTCCCCATCCA